TTTTTTTCAAGAGAGAGAGAGAGAGGAGAGAGAATTTTTTTTTAATATTTATTTTTCAGTTTTCGGTGGACACAACATCTTTATTTTATTTTTATGTGGTGCTGAGGATCGGATCGAACCCAGTGCCCCGCGCATGCCAGGCGAGTGCGTTACCGCTTGAGCCATATCCCCAGCCCTACATCCCAGCCTTTTTTATTTTTTATTTTGAGACAGGGTGTTACTATATTGATTAGGACCTTGATAAGTTGCTGAAGCTGGCCTTGAACTTGCAATGCTCCCAAGTTGCTGGAATTATAGGTGTGCACCCAGTACCTGGCAAGAAAGGAGTTTTCTTTGCTATTGGGAAACCTGCAAATTCTGGTCTTTCCTCAAAAACTTCTTTCTTTAGTTCACCTCTATAGTGTTTTCCAGTACCAAACAGACGCCCTTTAATTTAAATCTGCATATCTCCCCAGTCTATATTTACAGGTTTGTGCTGGCAACTCTTCTAGATGAATCCCAATTGGACTGTGTTCCTGGAAAATTTTGTATTGATAATTTAAAGATATAATTATACAATTTTTCATAATTCTGGATAAGTATATTCACAATCTAACCATGCTATTTTGTATAGAACAAATATATACTGGCTCAGAATAGACAGTATATGTTTTGTACAGAAAACATACGAAATATATCTGGGTAAGGATAAAATATATAAAAGCAGTGTTCTCTACTGCAGCTAAATAAATGAATAGTTATTACAGATTACTTTAAAAAAGAACTTCAAGAAATAAATTACTTTGAAAACATTTATCAAGCTGGGCTTGGTGGTGCATGCCTATAATCCCAGTGAATTAGGAGGCTGAGACAGGAAGATCACAAGTTTGAAGCCAGCCTCAGCGACTTAGACCCTTTCTCAAAAAAAAAAAAAAAGGCCTGGGGATGTGGCTCAGTGGTAAAGTGTCCTTGGGTTCATTCCCCAGTACCAAAAATATGAAATCAAAAGGCAAATAAAAATGGAGCTAGGAATTTTTATATGAAACAAGTTTTTTAAATGACTCTTTTTTTTAAAGCAGTGGTGGTTAGAATAAAGTAAAAACAATTCATCATAATTGCAATCCCACTGAGAGTGTGACTCAGCAGAGGGGCGGAGGGGCAGCCTGGGATGGAGCAGGGAGTTGGTAGCCTGGTTCTCTAAAACTATCTGCCTCAAGTCCCTCATTTCCCAGTGGAAGGTTGAAGATAGAGAAGGTCCTTGAATATGGCTTTCCTCATTTCTGGGAGCTCTGGGATCTGAGTACATCCCCTTCCAGAGAAAAAGATGCTTTCTTTCAGTGTTGGCTCCCACCATTTGCAACATAACTAAATCAGGGCTCAAAAAAAACTAACAGAAAAGCTCTTTCTCCCCAAGCATATTTAACTAATCAGGGCATTGTTCCATTCACTCAATAAGTGTGGGATATTTTGCTTTCCTGGGGCCTATGCTATTCCAGGGATGAGAACACCAAATCTGCTTGAACTGAGAAGAAAAGACATTGTTTGAAAGAAATTACCTAAGGTTGTATTGTCCCTTTAGAAAGCTTTTGTTGGAAAAGCATTTTCCCTCCTCCTCCTGGAGCCACAAGCATGGACTCCACCCATGTCTTGGGAACAGGGAGTCAATGTTAGGCAACCCTTGAGACACGCCCATGTCTACTTATTTTGGAAGTCAATCCATTTCTCCTTTTTCTCCACTATCTCTCTGTAGCCATTGGTTGATAACATAATCACAGGTGAGGTACCTTGCACAATCACAATTTTGTATTAAAGTTGCCTTCAAAAAGCATTTTTGCAACCAACTCCAGCAATAGCTATTTTACAAATATGATCTTTTATTTTTATTTTCTCATAATTGCCTTTATTTTGAATTGAATTTATATAAAGTTCTCCTCTAAGAGTTATATATTTGATTGATAATGTCCATAGCCCATGATTTAGGGTTCACAAAATTTTATTGTAACTTGAGTATTTTGGCCTCGGTATCCAAATCCACCCGAGATTCTGGGTTTTGTTTTTGTTTTTGTGCTGGGTGCTGAACCCAGGGCCTCATGCATGACAGACAAGCACTCTACCACTGAGCTGCACCCCCAGCCCCCAGCCTAGGTTCTTTACAAATCCACCATGGTACAGGATGGGACTGGACTTTGGATTTGGAACATTCTGAATTCTAGTCCCTGCTCTGCCACTTAGGGCCTTAAGAAAGTGTTTAAGGCTGAGTATGTGACACCTGCCTGTAATCCCAACAACTCAGGAGACTGAGACAGGAGGATATCCAGTATGAGGCCAGTCTGGGCAATTTATTGAAACTGTCTCAAAATTTAAAAAGGGCTGGAGGTATTAGCTTAGTGATAGGGTGCTTGCCTAGCATGTACTAAGCCCTGAATTCAATCCCCAGTATTACACACACACACATACATACACAAAGTTTTTTTTTTTTTAATATTATTTTTAGTTGTAGTTGGACACAATACCTTTATTTTATTTATTTATTTATTTATATTTTTTTAAATAGAGAATTTTTTAATATTTATTTTTTAGTTTTCGGCAGACACAACATCTTTTATTTTATTTTTATGTGGTGCTGAGGATCAAACCCAGGGCTTCTCATGTGCTAGGTGAGCACTCTACTGTTCAACCCCAATCCCAGCCCATAGGATTCTATTTTTTTTTTTTTTTAAAGTGATGAGCGAATGATGACTGATGCTATTATTAATGATGTCATTAATAATACTGATGATCTTAAGTTATATATATAATTATGATTCTCAACCTATTTTAATGCACCTGTGTCACATTTCATTGACATATTCACAGACTTGAAAACTTGGAACTTAATGGGTTAAAGAGAGAACAGTCCTTATTCTCAACAGAAGGGAAGAAAG